AAACTAGCCACCATTGTGCCAGTTCCAAAGACAGCTAGTATTACCTGTCTGAACGACTGGCGACCTGTTGCCCTGACCTCCATCGTAAGCAAATGCTTTGAGAGGCTGGTCAGAGATATCATCTGTTCCTCACTGCCTGCCACCCTGGACCCACTGCAATTTGCATATAGGCGGAATAGATCCACCGACGATGCAATCGCCCTGACCCTGCACACTGCCCTCTCCCACCTGGAAAAGAAGGACACGTATGTGAGAATGCTGTTTGTAGACTACAGTTCAGCATTCAACACAATCGTTCCTTCGAGGCTCGACTGCAAGCTCCGGGATCTGGGTCTGAACAGCACACTGTGCAGCTGGATCCTGAACTTCCTGACGGACCGACGGCAGGTGGTAAGGATGGGAAGTATCACATCCTCCTCTTTGACCCTCAACATCGGAGCCCCCCAGGGTTGTGTGCTCAGCCCGCTCCTGTACTCCCTGTACACCCATGACTGCACTGCTAGACACAGCTCCAACGTCATCATAAAGTTTGCTGACGACACAACAGTTGTGGGCCTGATCTCCAACAACGATGAATCGGCCTACAGAGAGGAGGTTAAAATCCTGGAAAACTGGTGCCAGGAGAATAACCTCTCTCTAAACGTCAGTAAGACCAAGGAGCTGATCGTGGACTTCAGGAAGCAGGAGAGAGTACACCCATCGATTTCCATCAATGGGACTGCGGTAGAGAGGGTCAGCAGCTTTAAGTTTCTCGGTGTTCACATCAGCGAGGACCTGACATGGGCAGTGCACACCTCACAGGTGGTGAAGAAGGCCCACCAGCGCCTCTACTTCCTCAGAAGGCTGAGGAGGTTTGGCCTGAACCCCAGCATCCTTAAGACCTTCTACACCTGCACTGTGGAAAGCATCCTGACGGGCAGCATCACCACCTGGTACGGGAACTGTACTGTTCGTGAGAGGAAATCTCTGCAGAGGGTGGTGCGGACAGCACAGTCCATCACCGGGGTTCAGCTCCCTAACCTATTGGATTTATACACCAGTCGCTGCCTGAGGAAATCCAGAAGGATTATGAAGGACCCCTCCCATCCTAGTCACTGTCTGTTCTCTCAGCTGCCGAGTGGTAGGAGGCTCAGAAGCTTAAAAGCCAGAACCAGTCGGCTCAAAGACAGCTTCTTCCCCCATGCAACCAGGCTATTGAACAGCCAGTAATCACTGCTCTGCCCAGCCCAACCCTTCCCATTACACGTACGTGCACCCACTGTACTCCCGCACTTTACTTGCATAGCTGGACTTTGAATACCTATCCAAAGACAATACTCTCCCCCTGCGCTTCTACTTAACTTCCTGTACCTTGCACTTTACTAAATACTCTGCCACCTACTGTACCATCTTCTACCTCCACACCTAGTGTGATTATTTGCACATCTACATAGCATTGTAATATCCATTACTATATATAGTATATAGTTGATTACACTCACTCTACATTCCCAGTGCAATATTATATGTCTCGGTGCAATATTATTATTTTTAAGTTATTGTGTAAGATTATATGTATATATTTTAGTTAAATTGGTTTTATCTATTCTTCTATCCTATCTATAGTTTTGTTTATCTATGTGTAAATACTGTTCTCTGCATAATTTGTGGAACTCGCACTCAAGTTTTTCACTCACCTGTGTCCCTGTACTCTTGTGATGTGACAATAAATCTGATTTGATTTGAAAAAAAAAAAAAACTTGCAGGTCTGTTCCAACCTCTGCCCACACCATCCAGGGCTTGGTCAGCGATCTCCATTAATTTCATCACTGGCTTACCACCATCTCAAGGGTATACAGTGATAATGGTTGTGGTAGATCGATTTTTCAAGGCCTGTAGATTTACAGCCTTACCAAAACTCCCATTGGCCAAAGAGACTGCCACACTCCTGCTGCAGCACATGGTCAGAATCCATGGTTTTCCCATGGATGTGGTTTCTGATTGAGGACCCCAGTTTACCAGTAGGTTTTGGGGGGCATTTTGCAAATTGCTGGGGGTCAGAAAGAATCCACCAATAGTAGGCGACATTTGGGTCTTTCCTTCCATCTGGGGCAACGAGTCTAGCTCTCCACCAAGGACCTACCACTAAATGTGGAGTCCAAAAAACTGGCCCTGCATTATATCGGTCCTTTGAAAATGACACGTTCGGTCAACCCAGTGGCCTACCGACTTCTCCTCCCTCTGCACCATGCGCATCAACCTAACATTCCATGTTTCCTGCCAGAAGCCAGTCCTCTGTAGTGCCCTACTTTAATCTCCTGACCTCATGCTAGGCCACTTCCAATTGCTAGGGGGAGACAAGGCACCAATAAGTTGTAATTATGTCTGAGCGAAAACAGCTGTGAGCACTCTACTTACAGGGTGCTCACATGCTGCTTTCTACTCAGTCTTGAGTTTCTGTTGCAATGTGCATGTCTCTTTGCTGAGCCAGTAATGGTATTCTCTTAGGTCTTGACTTCTTTGGAAAAATCAGATTTTTCTCACGGTGGCCTTCAACGGGGTTTTTATACTTGTAAGTAAAACTTTGAGTGTCCTTTTTAGTTGATTACTTTCCCTCTTAGTTTTTAGAAACTCTTTTGTTTGAAGATGCTGATCAGGCATTTCTTTTGTTTAGCCTTAGCTCCCCCTTTTTGTTTATCAACTGTACCCTGAGGCTCTCCTCAGCATTGCTGCAGTAGCTCAACAGTAGCGCACTAACCCTATGTTGCAATTTTGCTTTTCTCTTTCTTTCCCCTCCATTCTAGAGTCTCTTCAGTTCTGCAGAGTCCATCTCTGTGCCTGGTCAGCAGCTTATCCCATAGCGCACTGCATTTCTAATGCGGGAATTGTGGGCTCAATCCTCATGTGGGATAAACTAGCCATCATGTTACAGTTTTTTCACATTTTCCACTTTTTTTTACTTCAGAAATAAACAAAATACACTATAAGGTAAAATTGTCACACTTGACTATTACACCTATAAAATCTTGTTGGACACTCCCATTCCAAAACCACTGGCATTTATATGGAGCATACAATTTTCTAAAATGTTTTATGGCATAGCATACCATTACCTTTCATTAAAACAGCACCAGACCATTATTCTTCCTCCACCAAACTTTACTGTTGGCTCTATGATTTCCTGTAGGTAGCTTTCTCATGGCACCCACCAAACCCAGATTCATCTATTAGACTGCCAGATAGTTAAGCATGATTCATCACTCTAGAAAACACGTTTCCAGTGCTCCAGAGTCCAGTGGTGGTGTGCTTTACACCACTTAAGCCAATGCTTGGCTTTGCACAAAGAGATCTTAGGCTTTTGTGCAGCTGCTCAGCCATGGAGCTCCCAAAGCAGAGTTTGTGCTGATGTTGCTTGGAAATGAGTGATGCAACAAAGTATTGACAATTTTTACATGCTCTGGCTCTGCTCTGAGCATGTGGGTGGTCTACCACTTAATGGCAGACCTGTTGTTGCTACCATATGCTTCCATTTCACAATAATAGCACTTACAGTTGACTGGGGCAGAGTTCTATGAAGTGCCACATTTAAAATCAGCGTTGGTCGCTATGACCCATTCTACTGCCAGTGTTTGTCTATGGAAATTAAATGCCTATGTGCTTGATTTTATACATTTGTTAGCATTGAATGCAGCTGAAACACCTGAACTCAATAATTAGAACAGTTGTCCACATACTTTTGGCCATAGAGTGTATTAAAGTTCTTTTGAAAGGTCTTACTTTGATGGCATAAATGTCCATTAGTTAAAATAATCACTTGTGGTTTAATGTTCTGCTGGCAAAATAGCCGACAGGCTGCAGCGGTCATGCATGGTTTCAAGGGATAGCTTGGGTGGCCAGCTCCCTCCCTAAAATTAGCCAGCCCAGATGCCACCCTGAAATTTCTGTCACATTATTGGCGTAGTGTTCTCTGTAGATACTTGACCAGATGGGTGTATGTTTTTACACTATGGTGCAATGGTCTTAAGCATTCAACAACATTGTTTAAAACCATAATGCAGCATTTTTACCATATGTTTTTGCCAGTAAAACACTGCATTATCTAATCATAGACACTGCTTCCCTTGCCTCACAATACAGTGAGCACTTCTAATATTCATATAAACTAACCATTATTATAGGTTTTCTTTGTGATATGCTTCTAACAGTAATTACTGGTTTTCACTGGTAACACTGATTTTTACAGATCTGTTTGCTTAATGTAAATACTTCTGTCCACCAGATGTTTTTTTTTTCACTTTCTCTGTTTTTTATATTTTACATTAATGGTAAAAGCTTACTATCTGTTCGTGTTGCTTGTGTATTATTATTTTGCAATCTGGTGTTAACTAGAGGAAGATAGATTCCCCTTTTGAGTTTTGGTTACTCTCAAGGTTTCTTCCTCTTGCTCTTAGGGAGTTTTTCCTTGCCAAAGTTGCCACTGGCTTGGACCCGGGATTTTTCTGTAAAGCTACTCTGTAACAACGGCTGTTGTAAAAAGCACTATGTAAATAGACTTTACTTACATTATAATGGATAAAAATAATAATAGATACATTTAAAAATGTACTGAAACATTTAAAAAGAATACAGTCAGAAGAACACAGATATATGCCTAAGACATTTGTACAGAATTATTTACATGCTACATTCCCACTTATACTCCCACAGTTTTGCTAAATGAACAGGGATCAGACATGCTCCTGTTTCTTCACTATCTATACTACACCACCACTTGTTGTCCTGCTAAAAATTAAGTTTATAACTTACATATTAACTTGTAATTTTGATGCCAAAGCACCTTTGTGTTTGCTGTCTTCTGCTACTGAAATCACTACTATATAAAGCAATGTAACTAAAGGTAATCTTTTTCTGGGTTCTTTAGATATTGTTAAAAAAAAAGAGAGAGATATAAAGTGGAAAATACTGAGAAACTTTTTTGCTCAAACTTGAAATTTTCTTGCTTACGTTATCTGTTATGTCAGGTCATTTCTATCCTTATGGAGTTGGAGACTCAGTGAATGGACGGATAGATGATGGAAGCTCCTCTACTGTTTTTCTTGTGCAGCCATTTACATTCTTTGGGAAAACATACAGTCAGTTATATGTAAGTCAGTCTCAGTTTCCTATTTGGAAAGAATTTTGCTGTCTCAAGCAGCATGTTGTCTCAAGCATTTAAGACTCACTGATGTGTGCATGAAATCCATTGACAATTTGAAATTCTGTAAATATTCTCTATTAATTAAAAATCAGTAATAATTATAATTGCAACATAATTCTCAGCAAAGACGTGGCCATAACTGCACAAAATACAAAATACAACATGACCAGCTACTATTATTTGTGCCTGAATGTTCCACTCAAACTAATTTGAATCCCAGTTAGAAAAATATGGGGAAAGAATGTGTGTGTAGCACAATTTGTGTGCTAAAAAATATTTTTACCTTTTAAATGGTGATTCATATTTGTCAAATGTGTTGAAACCTCACCTCAGTTTTACAAAAATCATACATTTTAACAATGTCAGCACAAAGAGATTTTGGGTCATGTGTTGTAATAACAAACTAATTGTTTTTCATGTAGGTTAACAACAATGGCCACTTGACCTTTGATCAGCCATGGAGCATCTACACCCCCTACCAGTTTCCTGCTAACGGTGGACGAGACCTCATTGCCCCATTTTGGACAGACCTTGATAATCGTGGAAATGGTGTTGTCTCGTATCAGCAATACACTGCTGGCAATGTTCTCACACAGGCTACACGGGACATAAACCAGCATTTTCCTCAGCTGTATTTCAATGCAACTTGGGTCTTTGTTGCAACTTGGGATAGAGTAGCTTACTACCCTTACTCAGGCACGGTAAGAAAGTCTTCTTCTCATGTGATTAAGCTGCTTTACACTGATAATACCCTAAACTGCAAGTAAAACAATTTTGCTTCCTTGTGACATAGTAGGATATAATAAAAAAAGAAGTGTATTTTAGTGCTGGCTGACTTATTCTTATAAACATTTTGCAGGAAACATCTTTCCAAGTTGTTTTGATTTCAGATGGTCAGCTCTCTTTCATACTAATGAACTATGGTCAAATTGCTCCAACAAGCAGGACTGTACAGGTGAGTATTAATTTGATGCAAGTAGTCCACTATATGGTAACACTTTACAGTGTGTTGACCAAATAATATTAACTAATGAATTTGTTGACAGGAATAACTCATGAAGTACTATATCAATAATGCTTAGCCAGTATTAAGTAAACAGGAAATAATTGAATTTATTAATGTATTTTGTCACCATTAAAAATACAAGATACAAGAACAGTTACATTGATTAAGAACATCATACACTGTTAATAAATATATCAGTTAATATAAGTCAGCCCTTAATGTGAATACAACATTAACTAATGTGGTGCTAATTGTTTACTTGATGTTAGCTAACCGTTATTAATGTGTACTTCAAATGTTCGTGTTAACAAATACATAACTTAATATTAGTTAGTCAGCACTTATTATGTGTTAATAAAGCCCCTGAATTAAAAAAATATATTTTTTTTATTTTACTTTCAAAACCTATTGTTTTTTTCCTAGGCTGGTTATGACACAGATGACTCCAGCTACTATTTCTCAATTCCTGGGTCATTTCAGTACAACTACAGTATCTTTACATACAGCACCAATGTCAATGTGACAGGCAGATGGGCCTTCCGTGTGGATCATGGTTCACAGAGATGTCAATTTAACAGTAAGCTGCATGATATTCTATTTGCTTTTGAAAATCAATATCAAATTCAGACTAATTTTAATCTCACTAATTTTTATTTTGTTAGACAACCCCGTCCCACAGGGTACCTCTTTCTGGAAAGATGCCTCTTGCCTGGAGAGGTGCACCTGCACACGCAGGGGTCTTCAGTGCAGCTCACAGCCCTGCACCTTCTCTCAAGCCTGCCGTCGTGCTGCTTTCCAGTATAGCTGCCAAAATATTCAACGCCAAACCTGCACCATTTCTGGTGACCCCCACTACTACACATTCGATAACCAGATCTTTCACTTTCAAGGGACCTGCACTTATGTCCTGTCTGAGGTACAGATTTCAGTCATGTTTCCTTAATTGGTATGATGTTTATTATTGGGATATTTAAGATAATGATTCAACTTTCAATTCAGTCTAAGGATAAAAATATATTTCTGTACAGGCCTGTGGCGATGGGTTGCCGTACTTTCGGGTTGAAGGAAAGAATGAGAATCGGGGTAGCACGCGGGTGTCATGGACACGTTTGGTCAGAATATTTGTCTATGATGAAGAATTAGAACTGGTGAAAAATCATCGATATGACGTGAAGGTCAATATCACCACCTACTTGATTGAATGTGTTTTTTTTAAATATTTTTTTCTCTGACTTTTTTTTATTTATTATTTTTTTATATTGCTTGTTTAGGTGAATGGGAGCTTTGCAGCAACACCGTTCAGCCTCCGCAATGGCTCCATTCAAGTCTATCAGTCAGGTTTCTCTGTGGCTGTCAGTACTGATTTTGGCTTAGTTGTTACATATGATGCGTATTCCTATGTGACCATCAGTGTGCCTTATGACTATCAGAATGCCACATGTGGCCTGTGTGGTAATTTCAACCACCACCCCGAAGATGACTACCGTACACCTACAGGACAGATCTTGAGCTCAGATGTGGAATTTGCAAACTCTTGGAAGGCAGCAGGGGACACAGATCCTGGCTGCCAGAATAGCTGGTGCTCAGGTCTGATGTGTGCTTCTTGTACCACTGCTCAGAGAATTCTGTACAGTAACTCAAACTACTGTGGAATCATGGCAAATTCTACTGGCCCTTTTGCATCTTGTCACTCAAGACTGGCACCCCAGACCTTTGTAGAGAATTGTATCTATGATCTTTGTGTGGGAGGAGGTTACCAGCCAATCCTGTGCCAGGCACTTAATGTGTATGCTGCTCAGTGCCAGCAGCAGGGCATTCAGCTAGGCCAGTGGAGAAGACAAGGATTCTGTGGTAGGCATCACTGGTGTCCCTTTTATAATATGACTAAAGAAGCACTTTATTTTATTTTATTTTAAGTTACCAGTATCTTATAGGTAAATATGTGGTACTTGCAAGTAATTTTCTGCCACACAAGTAGCAGAATACATTGTAAGTTATTTAAAAATCTACCAGATATGTACAGCTGCACTTTTCAGGTACGTACTTTGGACGTACTGGATACTTAGTGACTATATATAAGTGCAAGTTGCATGCAACAGTATTTACACAGAATTGATTGATAAATATATAGTTCTTACAAGTAATATTTGATGCACACTTTGCAAGTTCAGTATGTAAATGCAGAGTAAATAATGTGAGACACATCAGTGATAACAAGACTGTAAAATAAAAACTGTAGCTTTTTACATAGTAATTATATAATAACTATCTATTCTCTTATTGTATGCAGAAATTAACCAGACGTATTATCAATTAAATATTGGTAGCTTCTCATATGATGAAAGCAGGACTAAAAGATACAGTGTTACTTTGTACATAGTAAACAACTGAAATATAGCTGGGATTTCTCACATTAGTCATGATGTACTTACATCATAAATTTGCAAAGTGTAGCTCATGTATTTATCACTTCAAAATCCTACATATTTGTCATCTGTATATGCACTGTTGTATAAAGCTTGCACATACTATGTACATGAAAAATATGGACCAAAAAATTACTTGTAGGTGCTACATATTTACTTATAAAATACTGGGTACTTACCACACCATAAAATAAAGAGCTACCATGACAAATTATGAAGACTTAAAAACTTTAACATAAAGAACATTATTCTTCTATTCTTCCTTTTACTTTCAGAAATTCCATGCCCTCAGTACAGTCACTTTGAGTCCCAGGGCACAGGCTGTCCTGCAACCTGCAGTAACCCTTCTGCACCTGTAAACTGTCCCTTGCCAAGCCAGGAGAGTTGTATTTGTGATGCTGGATATGTCCTAAGTGCTGGAGAGTGTGTTCCTCAAGCTAACTGTGGCTGTTCATTTGAAGGACTCTATTATGCTAACGGTCAATCAGTGGTATTGGACAATGACTGTGGGAGGCTGTGTACATGCAACAACAGAATAATGAGCTGCCAGAATCACCGGTGTGGTCCACAGGAGATGTGTGCAATCCATGATGGAGTGAGAGGCTGCAGACCAATAAGTTACTCCACCTGTTGGGTTGAAGGACCAGGCTCATATCACACCTTTGATGGACTAACGTTCAGCTACCCAGGAGCCTGTGGGCTTACCCTCTCTAGGGTGATGGGACCATCCCCACTTCCTAACTTTGCTGTAACAGTCCAGAAACAGCTCAGAGGCCCTCAGGACTTTTCCAGATTGCTGAAGTTTGAGGCAGAGGGAACTCAGGTCACCATAGAAATGAGAGAGGGAGGAACAGCAACAGTAAGCTCTTAAATATTATTATTATTATTATTATTATTATTATTATCATTATTATTATTATTATTATTATTATTATTATTTGCAAAGAAATTCCAAGGAGATATTTTAACCAAAGAGATTTATCAGCCTAATATTTTTTCTTTCAGGTGGATGGACAGGCAGTTGCTTTACCATTTAGTGTTGGCACTGGCCGAATCCGTATATTTCACAGCAGTGTGAAGGGTATAATCATGGAAACCACCTTTGGGGTAACTGTGCGAGCTGACTGGCCACACCTAATTAGAATCACTGCACCCAGCAACTACAATGGCACACTTGGTGGTCTGTGTGGGAATTTGAATGGATACCGTGGAGATGAGTTCCTCAGCCCTGTTGGAATCTTGCTGAATGATTCACAGGCATTTGGGAATAGCTGGCGGGATGGGTCTCTCTCAGCCTTCTGTGAAGAATCAACAAACAACTGGCAAAGAGGATATTATCAGAACAACAGCCAGTTCCAACAGCAGTGCAGCATTATGGCTTCAGCATACGGACCGTTTGCTGAGTGCCACAGCAGCCTGGATCCCAGTGTCAGGATAGCAGACTGCATCAGTTTTCTGGAACAGACAGGGGGCGCAAAAGAGGCTTTGTGTGAGGCCCTGCGAGGGTACGCCGTCCTTTGTCAGCAAAATGGTGTTGCTGTGCGAGAATGGAGAAATATAACTAATTGTGGTGAGTTTTATTTATTGATTTTTTTTTTTTATTAAGAGTATCATAGCTTAGAGGGTCAAAGCTTTTTACACTAGATAACATTTTACACACACCAATCAACTAATTGGCACTTTGCTTTCCTTTTAAAGAGTTCCCCTGTCCAACCAATAGCCACTATGAGCTGTGTGGTACTTCCTGCCCAGCAGCCTGCCCCAGTCTGTCTTTCCCCTTTTTGTGCACCCAACACTGCCAGGAAGGATGCCAGTGTAATGATGGCCTACTGCTAAGTGGAGACCGTTGTGTGCCCCCTACTGGCTGTGGCTGTCTTCATGAAGGGCGCTACAGGCAGGGTGGAGAACGTTTCTGGCACGGTGAAGAGTGCCAGTCCCTGTGTACCTGTGATGGGACCACAGGTTTCGTCCGCTGTTCTCCATCATCTTGCAGTGAGCAGGAAACCTGTCGTATTGTTGGGGGAGAATATGGTTGCCACCCTCTACCCCGTGCTACCTGCTCTGCTTCAGGAGATCCCCACTATACCTCTTTTGACGGACGGACATTTGACTTCCAGGTCACCTGCAGATACGTACTGGCAACTGTATGTAATGATACTCGAAGGCTACCATATTTCCAGGTTGTTGCAAAGAATGAAGCTTGGCGTGGACTTCCAGTGTCAATCACTGTGGATGTTTATGTCAATGTCTCAGGGCATATGGTGCATGTTTCACGCAACATGCGTGGTACTGCTGAGGTAAGCAAAAAAAATGAAATATTCTTATGTGTTTTATTGCTGTTTATTGATTTATTGTGACCAGTGATGGGCACAGACATTTTGAGGGGCCATAACTGTAACCTGAAAAAAGGGCAAAAGCAAGGAAAGCATTATTATTGTTGTGCTCAAGGCGAGATCTATATTCAGGTTCAAGAGGGTTTATTATCATTTCAGCTATATTTAGAAGTACACAGTGAAATGAAACAACATCCATGGTGCAACACAGGAACACAAGTGCAAAACAGTACAACATACACAGTGCCGACAATACAGTGCAATATATATATACATATATGAAAGACTTACAATAAATACAAAAACGGCACAGAGTACACAGTACTGAGAATAAGTAGAGTTGTGCAAAGCAGGATGTAACATACTATAACATATTAGCAGATAACCTAGCATATATGAACATAGCAGTCACTGAGGTAGCAACCAGAACAACAGTAATAGAATACAGTAAGCGTCTTAAAAGAAGATAAAGAACGAACTCTAAAATATGAACATATTTTAAAGAGACTACTTCATGTTTTTTTTTTCCATTAGATTGATAGTCAGACCAGGAACCTTCCTGTCCTGCTTGATTCTGGACGTGTTTCCATTTACTCCAGTGGACAGAACACATTTATCACAACTGACTTTGGCCTAAGTGTGAGTTACGATGGTTCGTGGGTTGTGCGTATCACTGTCCCAGCTAATTACAGTGGAGCCACATGCGGCCTGTGTGGTAACTTCAATGGCCAGAGGGGTGACGATTTCCGCAAACGATCAGGTGCACTGGCTTCTTCAGCTTTTGAGTTTGGAGCTGACTGGAAAGTGGAGAATGACACATTGTGCAGCGATGGATGTGGAGACTCCTGTTCATCATGTCAAAATCCAGTTGAGGCACGGGCCCAGTGTCAGATCCTCAAGGACAGCCAGGGTCCATTGAGCTTCTGTCATGCCACTGTGGACCCCCAGGCCTACTTTGATGACTGTGTGTTTGATTTATGCATCTCAGGGTACAGACATGATGCACTGTGCCGTTCCATCCAAACCTATGTGAGTGCCTGCCAGTCTGCCAATGTCTTTATCTACCCCTGGAGAGAGAACACAACCTGCAGTAAGTCAATAAGCAAAAGTTTTGAAATGTTTCAGCAATTTCCTAAATAATGGAACCTGCATTAAGTGTATTTTATAGTGGAATACTTTAAGGAGATTTGGGTTTGGGTTTAGATAGCAAGGCACCAGGAAAGACACTTATGGGTAGTATTGGCTGATGCAAGTATATTTGGATTTGAGACTGAGGAATCTGGGCTAGGTGTTATTCTCTTCATTATGACACAGTAACATACAAAAAAATACTACCACTACATGTTCAAGATTGATAAATAAATATATATACGTCAGGTGGAATTTATGATAACTTGCATTTGTGGTATGATAGCGCTAATTGTGTTATGTAATTTCACAGGAATGGACTGTCCTGTGAACAGCCACTATGAGCTGTGTGGCACAGACTGTGGTCATACCTGTGCTAGCAGCATTGATGCTGTATGTCAGCGGACATGCTCAGAGGGCTGTTTCTGTAATGAGGGCTTTGTGAGGAGTGGAGGACGCTGTGTTCCAGTGGAACAATGTGGCTGCTTGTACAATGGATTCTATTATCACGTGAGTTCCAGTTAGTCAGTCATACGGTCAAAAACCTGAACTGTTAAAGTGATTAAGTTTATCTGGAAGCATCTATACATTGACTGTTTTATTTAAATACTGCTCTATTAGGTACTGTATTGACATTTGATTGTGTCTTAATATGGTGTGGTTCTGCAGATTGGTGAGCAGTTCTGGACCCCAGGATGTTCACAACGCTGTGAGTGCTTTGCTCCCAATGACCTGCGCTGCTACTCTGCCTCCTGCTCTCCCACCCAGGAGTGTGTGGTCAGGAATGGCCTGCTTGGCTGCTACAGCAGAATGTCTTCATGCATGGTCTGGGGTGATCCCCATTACTTTACCTTTGATGGGGCTGTCGCCACCTTCCAGGCAAGAATAGGCTTTTTCAATTAACACAACTAAATACTGGTCTTTGATTTAATGGAACATGATTCAAGTGTCTCACTGGATAATTGATCATGTTTAGTCGATGTCACATATTACTGTTGTATTTACAACCCCATTTCCAAAAAAGTTGGGATGCTGTGCAAAATGTAGATAAAACAAAATGCAATGATGTGCAAATCATTTAAACCCTGTATTTCATTGAAAGTAGTGCAAAGACAACATTTCAAATATTGAATCTGAGAATTTTTACTATTTTTTAAATATCTTTGCCCATTTTGAATTTGATGCCAACAACACGTTACAAAAAAGTTGGGACGGGGGCATGTTTACCACCGTGTTTCATCTCCTTTCAACAACACATGGTAAGCGTTTAGGAACTGAGGAGACCAACTGCTGTAGTTTTGTTGTATTTTTCATTTTATAATGTGCCAAATATTTTCAGTGGCGACAGGTCTGGACTGCAGGCAGGTCAGTTTAGCACCTGGACTCTTTTAACTACAAAATCATGCTGCTGTAATAGATGCAGAATGGGGTTTGGCATTGTCTTGCTGAAATAAGCAAGACCTTCCCTGAAAAAGACGTCATCTGGATGGCAGCATATGTTGCCAGAACATGTATATATCGTTGAGCATTAATGGTGCCTTCACAGATATGCACGTCACCCATGCCATGTGCTCTAAAGCACCCCTATACCATCATGAATACTGGCTTTTGAACTGTGCACTGATAACATGCTGAGTGGTCTTTGGCCCAGAGGACACAGTGTCCATGATTTCCAAAAAGAATTTCAAATGTTGGTTCGTCAGACCACAGGACACTTCTCCACTTCCCCTCAGTCCATTTTAAATGAGCTCAGGCCCAGAGAAGGTGGCAGTGTTCCTGGATCCTGTGTATATACGCTTTCTTCTTTGCATTTAAGAGTTTTAATTAGTATTTGTGGATGGAATGATGAACCGTTTTCTCAGACAGTGTTTTTCAGAAGTGTCTTTATTTACATTTTTCACAGAGTCACAACATTTTTGGAAATGGGTTTATAATATGAAAATATGTGATTCTTTTCTTCAGGGAACTTGTTCATATGAGATCTCAAAGACCTGCTCAAATGTCTCAGACAATGGCATAAATTTCCGTGTGGTGGCAGCTAACATGCACCGTGGGAACATGGCTGTGTCCTTTGCATCTAAAGTGGATGTGTGGCTAACTCAGTGGGGACAACAGACACAGATAACTATTGGACAAAACAAGAGAGTGAAGGTATTTCTCCTCTTTACTGTGTGCTCCTGAATCAGAAAATCAGAGGTGTGGGACATTTCCTGATTTCTTCTTTTTTAATACCTTTTCTTCTCTTTCTTCTCTGCAGGTTAATGGGACAGACATGAGCTCATCTGCTTTTCAAATCAACTATTTTGCAGAAGTGCATCAGGAACAAGATTTTGTGGTTGTGAATGCATCAAACGAGCTCATGGTCTACTTTGATGGTCGTTACACACTTTCAGTGAAACTGGGCCCGAGCTTCCAGGGATCTGTTTGTGGAATGTGTGGCAACAACAATGGAGACCCTGCAGATGACAAAGCTACGCCCAGTGGAGCTCTCGCACCCAATGACAATGTTTTTGGCAACAGCTGGAGATCAATTAACAGTGCTGCAGGGTGGTTAACCATATTTGAATAACACTTTTAAAAATACAAGGATGGTGTATGTGAAGTTAAAATAGATACACTCATCTAACCAAAACAAAAAATACATATTCCCATTAATATCTATTGAACTGCCATTTATTTTACACTGTTTATGTCTAAGCAACTTTGCTTTCTTTCCAGGTGTGGAGCTAATGACCGGACAGGTGATGTGAACGACTGCCCTTTTAGACAGGAGTACTCTGAACTCTGTAGCATCATCAGCAACACCAGTGGACCCTTCCAGCCCTGCCATATCCATGTCAACCCTGCTGTTTACTACAATTCCTGTGTGTATGACCTATGTGTCTACTCATCAGCCAATGGTATGCTGTGTTCAGCTCTGGAGGCCTATGAAGTTGCTTGCACCACAATAGGGATCCAGATCTCAGACTGGCGGTCTGGTCTAGCTTGCTGTAAGTCCAATAAATTTATAGACCTGTCTGTGATTTTAATTTTCTGGAATTGATGCACAGGACAAATGGTTTTTATGAATTACATGTTTTTTCATGAATTTTTACCTTTTTTTCTCATTAGCGAGGGTGGATCCCTGTGCAGGGCTGAGCTGCACTGCAGATGAGTGGTGTGGGGAGAAAGATGGCATCTATGGCTGCTTCTGTAATGAGGATCATCCTAGACCGAAGCTTGAGTCTTACGGTACAGGCACATTTTAACATGTGGGCATGCATTAGGGGCTGTGGCTATTTTGCTTCCATACACCAGTTTAACAGTCCAATGGAAACAACTGATTGTTTATACCAGCTAGTACTAAACTGTCATCACCACATACCAATGAGCTTTTCAAAATGAAGTTGTGTGTAAAAAGTTGTGTGTGAACGTTGTATGTAAAAAACATTAAAATTTTAAAATTACTATATTGCTAAATTACTATATTTTGTTGATTGCCATTGGGAAGTAAATCAGAAATCCTCAGCATTTGTCAAACAATGTAAGTTACCATTTTATTTATGTGTTATATCATGGTCACATCGAGCTAAACTTTCTGTAGATAGTTGTTTTGCACATCAGTTAAATGGTCTTTTTGCTACCCAATTAGGTACTTCTTGAAATCTACCAGTCCTAGTTTACTAGGCTGTATTTCAGCAAGGTTTACACATTGCTGAGGAAAAAAAGTCTCTAGTCTCTCCTCCTGCTGGTCATTACTGTCTTCTTTTCTGTACCTTCAATTTAGGCATTGTCCTCAGCTAGTTTGTCTTCTGCCCACAGCACTAACTAGTGGATATATTAGTTGACTAGTCAGTTCAACCACTTGAATATACTAAAGATATTTGACATCTATTTCTCTAAAACAAATCTCACACCTCCTTACTTTTTCTCTTTTCTTCTTGTACCAGACTCCAGAGAAACCTGTGAGAGCAGCTCTGGCACCATGTCTCTGTCCCGCTGTCAGCTCTTTGAAGCAGGTTTCACTGCTAACATCCTGCATCTGAGTGACCCCAACTGCAACGGAACTCTCCAAAATGGCAGACTGGTGTTCCACTTTGATAACGATGACAACATCTGTGGCACAAATCTCACGGTAAACAGTATACTTGCTGATAAAGTGGATTTTAGGTGCTTTTTAGGTTTATAACATAATTCTGACCTTTGCAAACAGAGTGCAACTGTATTGTAAATCCTGACTCAAAATCTAAACTTAGTCCCATAAATATTTGGACATCAATAAAGTTATTTTTCTTTTATATATCTGCCACAGCACTTTTAAATTGCAAGTCCTTGAGTGTATATTTGGTGGTAATTAATTTTCATCACATTCAGCTTCTGACATTATTAATAAATCATATCAACAGGCCAATGGCACACACTTCATGTACGAGAACTTTATCCAGGGAGTAGTGGACTCAGCAGGAGGATTCATCAACAGAGAGAAACGTCTGAATCTGCACTTCTCATGCATTTACCAGCTTAGCCAGACACTTACCATGGACACAGAACTAAATCCCCTGCAGAGGTGAGGTGTGCTACTGCCTGGGATCTTCACTGAAATCCCACTAATATCAATTGCTGTAGTTACATGGCTTGTTTAACATTTGATCCTTAAGTTTATGCTATGAACCAACCAGTCTGTGGTTTGATGTTTACACAGCATAGTGCACAAGGACCTTCCAAACGGTCAGGGGTTGTATCAGGTCAGGATGACTCCCTTCCAGGATGCTGCCTTCTCCCACCCTTACAACGGTAGTGCATACATAGAAGTGGACCAGCGGATCTACGTTGCAGTGATTGTTCAGGGAGTTGACAGCCGTCAGATTGCCACAGTCATAGACTCATGTTGGGCCACTCCTGTCAATGACCAGAACTTCGGTGTCCGCTGGAACCTCATCGTTAATAGGTATGAACATTTTCCTCGCTTCGACTTTTGGCAGGAACAAACAGGGAAAAAACAGAAAGTTTTAGTTTTTACCGCATTGATTTGAGCCTGTCATAATATGTGGATTATAATTTATCATTTTTTTGCCACTACATCTCATTTCAGTCCAAGATATCTTTTGTTTGATTTAAAGATAAAATATCACATTTTTTCAGATGCCCTAACCCAAAAGATATCACAGTGGATGTTTATCAGAATGGTGTCTCCACAATCGGCCGTTTCTCCTTCAAGATGTTTGCCTTTAATGGCTACCGCAAAGTTTTCCTTCACTGCGCCATCCACCTTTGCCTTCTGCAGAAGAACAACTGTGCAGCGGTGAGTTCTGTAAATAACTTTGAACTATAATGATAATAACAAAAAAAATATATATATATAAATTATTATTATTATTATTATTATTAAAAAAAGTAGGGACACTGTGTAAAATGCAAATGAAAACAATATGCACTGATGCATGCCATGTGCACTAATGCACTAACATCTCAAATGAGCTCAGGCCCAGAAAAGATGGCAGCATTTCTGGGTCCTGTTAATATATATGTTGGTTTCTTCTTTACATAGTAGAGTTTAACTTGCATTTGTGGACGCAGTGATGATCTGTGTTCACAGACAGTTGTTTTCAGAAGTTTTCTTGAGCCCATGCAGGGATTTCCACTAGATAGTCAGGTCTATTTTAATGCAGTGCCACCTGAGGGCCCAAAGACCTTGGCTAGCCAATACTGGTTTCAGCCTTGTCACTTATTTACAGAGAGGATTGTCTAAATCTTTTAATGATAGTATGTAGTGTAGATGATGAAATCTCCAAATTCTTTGCTATTTTACATTCAGAAATTGTTGCGCTGTCACACTTCTGGGTTCTTCTCCCTTGCCTAACACGCTCCAGGACTCCATTTCCCAGAATCCCAATCATCATGACATCACCCCTTCCACCAATCACAGGCCTCTGCCTCGTTCTCAATCACCTGAGTACTGATTCAACACACCTGTATCTGTTTGTCTTAGACTTTAAAAGCATCCTGGTTTGTTCTCCTCTTTGCGAGGTGTTGCCACACTTCTGTTTACTGAGCGTTTATCTTCTATTTTCATGTCCTGTGTACTCACCCCATTGTTTTCTCCATTGTTTCTCTTTTGGATTTGCCGTTATTGCTCAGGTTGCCTGTGTTTTTGCATTTATGGTTTCTGACCTTTGCCTGTTTTTGGACATTGTTTCTGGATTTGCCCTAACTTGTTTCTCTCATTAAACCAACTGTTGTTTTTAAGATCCGCAAGCATCTGTTCAGCGTTACATGCGCTATTGGCCCACACAGTCTTTCACAGAGTGGTCAACTCCTCCCCATCTTAACTTATGAAAGACTCCAGCCTCTCTGGAATGCTCTTTTTCATGTTACTGACCTGCTGCCAATTAACCTCCAAGTGTTTTTTTTAGCATTACACAACTTTTCCAGTCTTTTGTTGCCCCGTCTCAACTTTCTTTAAATGTGTTGCTGGCATCAAATTCAACATAGGCATATATTTTTCAAAAAACGATAACATTTCTCACTTTCAACATTTGAAATGTTTGAACTATTGTCAAATAAATATAGGGTTAAAATGATTTGCACATCATTGCATTTTGTTTTAATTTACATTTTGCACAGCGTTTCAAGTTTTTTGAAAATGGGGTTGTAATAACTGTAGTGATCTCCCACCAAAGGTATAACTGTTCTGTGCTGCCAGTGCATGTGCTACTCTAAAAAAGATACCAGAGTAGTTGTTTTGACTGGATGTTCACTATAATTCCACCCAGTTTGCAGTTGCACTGCTCTGTGCCAGGTTAGAGCCAGTGATTATAAAAATATGCAAAATGGTCTTTGCCAGCACCTTAAATACTCCTTTGTTTTTACTCTTAAACTATGACAATGAAAATAGGGTCTGTAGTAAAACAGTGATGAGGAGATATCATGGAATGACTCAATATGCACATGGACATTATGGCTGCATCATGTCTTCTCACACATATACATCTGATCCTGAAAGGTGAAGTCATGATATTTTGATGGTAGAAAGCCTTTCAGAATGTGTTAGCAGCTTGGGTCTCAGTCTAGCTGTTATATTTGCTGTCATTGTAAAGGGAAGTCTCCTAAGAACATTTTGAGGCTCTACCACTTATTTATACCTGTTTAAACACTTTTAGGTAACACAAACAAACCTGACCTAATAAAGCTGTGCAAATTTAGTAAATCAAGCAGCATATTTAATCCGCCACACGTCAAATATCTCCAACCATATTTTGTGGGTTCTTTTCTGAACTACACGTTCCAATCGTGTACACATTAAATCCAAATTGTTAGAGTATGCATGTCTTGCATCCATGCAAATTTGTTTATGCACAATTTATTTTGCACTTGGAATACTATAAAAAACAGTGAGTGCTTCTGAAATCCATGTAAGCTTTAACAACTCTTATCTATCTTGTGTGTTTTGCAGCGCTGCTTCCCTGAACACCGTTTCAGAGTTGGTCGTTCTGTGGACATGCATGACAAAACCTCCATCTCTGTTGGTCCTTTTATCTGGGCTGCTGAAAGTGCAGGTAAACACTCTCACAAGACACACTTGCCTTGATGTTTTCTCATGTTCTTTAGTATCTGGGGCAATGTAAGCACAAGTAATGCCAGGTACTTCTATTCTCCTAAAAATTACAGGAGAAAACAGCCAACTTACAGTAATCTTGTTTTCCAGGTGGTTGTTAAATAACAGTTTATAGTTGCTATTGTACTTTTATTTACTGTCAGTATAGTAAATTAATGTGAAAGCAGTGCCATTAGTAGCCAGTGTACTGTTTGCTCATCATGTTATTTGGAGTTGAATAACTGTGTTTAAGAAACACAGGAATGGATTCTGATTTTTTAATGGAAGGCAGAGTTATTTGTAATGTAATTGGTTTATTGTCCAGAAGCATCTCTCAAAAGCATGAACCGAGAGTAGATGTGATTGTATTTAGTGATCTCTCTGTAAATCTAATTCATCTTTTACAATAATGAGCAGTAACACAGTAATGCTTTACACACATTAATGCAGGGCATGGTTAACATATTATTAAGACTAGGCCACCCCAAATTTATTTATTTATTAAATTCTAGCAAAAAAAGAGAAAAAATCAAAGTAATGTATATAATAACAATGCAAAGGGGAAATAAAAGCTTTTTAAAATAGTTTAAATGTCATAGGTTTCACACTGTACACCAAAGTCAAGCAAATTGTATTTGATTACACATTTAAGCATAAATACAAAAATACAATGGGCTTCATTCACCACTATTTTTCTATGCTTTTCTGAAATTTGTTCTTGAGAAAGGTCCTAAGAAAATGTCTGCATCAAATTGCACCTTTGTGCTCTTGAGTGTGTGTAGATTTTGTTTTTACTCAAGAATATATCCCAATTAAGAAAACGTTGGTGAATGTCAGAAGTGAAAACTGCAGAAGTGGGTTTTATTAAGAATTTTCTTCCTAAGAACGGTTGGTGAATGAGGCCCATTGTTCACTGAAGCTCCCTTAATAGCTTAGCAGATATTACTATGGTAATGCTTATATTCTAGGTATTCTTCAGTCTCTTAAGTTCTAGGTATTATGTTGGTAAGTGTGTAATACAAAATCCAAAGTGCTGGATAGTTATTTTGGGTAATATGATGCAAAGTTTCATGAGAGTTGGACTAAAACATACTGAAATGACAAACAGTTTCTATGTATTAACTGGCTAAGTGTGAGGTACAAACTCCACAACACTGTAGAGTTATTTTGGGTAAAATCTACCTCCCGATTACCCAATCTGGTCCTGCTTTACTGTAATTCAGAAGCAAATGTAACTCATTATGATTTAAGCATGATTTAAGTTATTTATAGCACCCAATTTTTCATTTTGTTTTTTACAGGCGTGTAGATCCCAGAGATACCGATACTTCTCCCAAGGCCATCTGAATGAAAACTTCATGAGTGAAGATTTTACACAACTCTTAGTTAATCTCTTTGCAATTAATAGGGCACTAATGTAACACTGTATGGGCTTTTCTAATTAATTAATGTTGCAGTCAATAATTATTTGCTTCCATAAATAGTTGATTTTAATTGATTTTAAATATGTAATGCATTTTTCACTGTGATTACATTTTGAAAACTCCTTAAATTGTTGTCTTTCCAAATGTGGATTCAATTATAAGGTTCATCTTTATGACTACATTTTACATCTCAATAAATTCTCTGCATGCCAAAAGGGTATATGCCATCTATAGTATCATTTCTTTAAATTGGTTATAGGCTATTGTACTAATGATCATAGGTAGCCAGAGCTGTACCTGATGTGTTTTGTGTAGAGGGCGAACAACAATTGTTACAGAAAAGTTCTCTGGGTTGCTTTTATGCTGCACATCAAGTCTGAGCTGCCATCACTGACCTTCATTAGTTTGGGCTTAACCCAAAATAATGGGCTTCATGGTATTTACGGCACTGCAAAAGTCAAATATTATTTATTACACATGCCACAATCTTTGGGGGCTATTTGGGAGGGCAGAGTACAATGGGAAAGACTTTTTCTCTATTATCAAAGGAATTGACAAAGAAATATTTGTATAAATCATACCTTGTTTTGTCCTACTTATCAGAATATATGATAAATGTTTAAAGATGTAAAGATGTTAGAATTACATGCTATTGCAAAATAATAATTTAGTAACTGTAGTGCCAACTTATTATTAATTAACATAGAGAAAATAAGTGTGTCATGGTCAGGTAAATACAATTTCCTAAAAAATACTACCATATTATTACCCAATTATTACTGATCTGTAACATGCTACCATTTTTTAAAAATATATATACCTTTGTGTACAGATGACTGAACTATAAGAGATATCTAAGGGATTGTTTAATCGTTTATTATGAGAAAAAAAATTCCATGTGGTATTCTGCTTATCTGGGGAGAATTCTAATGTGTAATGTTACCATTACGTAAAGTGGATCGAAATACTTGATCATAAAACATACAGATGTTATTGGTAGTCATTTTAAATACACTGTAAAAAAAAAAAAATGGTAAGATGTCTGGCAGCAAAAGTTGCCAAACAGTTCCCATCATTTTACAGTAAAATTCTGTACAGTGGATTACTGTAAAATTACAGATTTTCCCTGTAAATATTCTGAGTAATTTTATGGCCAAAGTTTAGTAAATGTACAAATTTCCATCATTAAAAACATCTCTAGAATGTATTAAAATCACATAAATACTGCATAAAAACATCTAAAGTTTAAATATTTAAATTAACATAAGTATGTAAGTATTTAATATTAACATTTAAATATACTCAATTACATGAACATTCTGCACAATTACCTTTTACTTCAGCAGATAAAAGAATGGTGTACATTTTACATAAATACACGACAACCAATACACTATTGCTCTTTCAAAACAATGTAAAACCTTTGGCCAGAACAATAAAACCTCAACCATAATACATACTTTCAGTCTTTTTATTTTTAAAGTTGAACTTCAACAATCATGACATCACCCAGCAACCTAGCATTCAAAATAAACACCAAAAAGATAGCTACTGTGGATCTTTCTACAGTTTTAAAGATTTATTATGTCTGTCTAAAACATAAACAATGAATGATTTGGCAAAATATTTCATTCAACCTTCCACCTCTCCCTGGGCTCACCAGTGGTGTTAGTGCCAAAGAAGGATAGCAGTATGCAGTTTTGTGTGGACCACCATGAACTCAATGCCAAAACCCATCTAGACGCATATCCAATGCCTCAAGTTCAAGAAATACTAGTCCCTACATGGAGCATCCATGTTTAGCACACTTGTTATGACATTGGCAGGTCAGCATGGACTCCCTGAGTACACAAAAAACAGTGTTTGTGACCAACAAAGAGTCATTTGAATTTCTCAGTCCAGCAATTTCTTGGCCTAGTGGGGTGGTACCATCGTTGCATCCTAAATTTCTCTTACAGCTGCATCACTGCATGCCTTGAAGCAAAAAGAGGTGGAATAGGACACATTATTGCCAAAAAACTCTGTGCCTGTTCTCAAACCACCAAATTTCCAGAAGCCATTTTAAGTACAAATAGACAAAAGCAAGTCAGGCACAGGACCAATGCTAATGCAAGAAGAAGATGAGGAACATGTTATAGCCTATGCTTCCAGATTGTTCAGCTGGGCAGAGAAGGTGTATTTTTTTTGTTTGTTTTTTATTATATTTTTATTAAGACACCTGTCAGGTAACAGTTTACATATACAAATGCATTTGGAAATGCAGAGGGACCATATGAGTAGAAAATCTAGGGATGATTATACAACGACTAAAAAAAAACAAAACACATGGATAAGTACAAAATTAAGATAAATGATCAATATAATTCCAGAGAGGAAACCATATTTGCCAATTTTTTTCTGTCTTTTGGTGTAAATCAAAAGTTAACTTCTCAAGAGGAAGTAAAGATGTTATTTGACAAAACTACAGATTGAGAGATGGGACTTGAGGAGAAGACCAGAGAAGTAGAATACATTTTTTAGCAATATAAACCAGCGGAATAAATATCTGTCTAGCATTATAGTGAAGTGTATCTTCCAACTGGCCATAGAGTAAATATAATTTAGGGCATAATGTAAACTCTATATTAAGAATTTCTTATATAGCTGAATGCACCCCTTCCCAAAATGTTTTGATTTTATCGCAGGTCCAGAAAGAGTGAATAAAAGTACCTTTATGTAATTGACACTTGAAACATGAATCAGTTCTTTCTGGAAATATCCTATGTAAGCATAAAGGTGTAAGATAAATTCTATTAATAAACCTAAAGTTGAGTTCATGTATATTAATTGTATAATAATTATATAATAAGTGCACTTAGAACAGATAGAAACAGATAGAAAGCCAGACATCCCAGTCTCTTTAAGACTTGCAAAAGAGGACAAACATTCATCAGATAATATGGCATAAACTTTTGAAATCAAGCGATTTAACTCGTGGTGCTTAGTCAGAAATAGTTCAATCTCTGTCATGTCCATTCACAGCATTCCAGTATCCATCTGAACTCTAATGAAGTGTCTAATTTGGAGATATCTAAAAAAGTCAGTCTTTAGTAACTTGTGCTTGTTTAACATCTCCAAAAATGGCATCATAACACCCTCTGAGAACAAACAAGAGATCTATGAAATAACAAGTTTACTCCAATTTAAAAGTCCAATATTAGATAACTGAGAAGGGAAGTCCGGATTGAATGCAATCGGATAAAACAAGGAAAGGCCTTTAGGTACCTTACATTTTTTTTTTACTTCTTTCCAGGCCAGTAACTTATTGGATACGACAAAGGAGCCAGAAACATTTCGTAATTTCTCCACATTATGTATGAAAGGTAAAAACTGTATAGGTAAAGCAGAGCAGGCCTTGGATTCCATGTGGACCCAGAGTGAGACAGACCTGTTAGCACATTAGCTGATTATGTGTTTCATCTGAGCTGACCAGTAGTAAAACTGTAGGTTTGGCATGCCCACTCCCACTTTGTCTTTAGGTTTCATTAAGTTCAGTAATTTAATTCTGGGTTTTTCGTTCTTCCAAATAAACCTTGAGAAGTGCCCATTCAGGTCTTTAAAAAATGAACTAGGTAAATAACAAGCAAGACACTGAAATGAGAAAAGTAAGCGAGGTAAAATATTCATTTTCAAGGTATTTATTCTACCAAAAAAAGAGATTGGGAAAGAGCACCAGTTGGCTAAGTCGGTCTTCAATTTGTTTACAAGAGGTAAATAATTTTTGGCATAGAGATTATTAACATCTGGTGTCAAAAAAATGCCCAGATAATTAAAACCTGACATTTTATTTAGAAAAGACCTTATTTCAGTCTGAGAGGCTGTGTTTTCTGACTTATAAAGGAATTCATAGTAATGTTTGAAAGCAATGTTTATAAGCAAGGCATCACAAGTAATAGAGCCATCTGCATTTTTTAACAATTTAATAATCCTCTCACTTTGGTCTTTTTTTATCTGATGGGCAAGCAGGCGACTTGATTTATTCCGGAACTCATAATACTTCTGTTTAGAAAAGCAAAGTAATTTTTTTATATGATGACTGCGGAAGAATATGATATAATATAACCCCCGGATTGTGGCCTTGGCTGCATCCCATAAAATGGCAGGAGATACAGAAGAATGTTTATTATTCTCCCAAAAATTACGAATCCACTGCCGTGCCAGGCTACAAAAAGCTGTGTTATTGAGAAGAGTTGAACCTCCAGATATTACTTTTATTTATTGTAGTACCTAGATTCATGTGCACACACACACAGGTGTGTGATCAGAGAGAACGATGGAGCCAATCTTACTGAATTCTACCAGATGGATATAATTATTAGGAATAAAAATATAATCAATGCATGAATATTGTGACGGGCCTGTGCCATTACAGGCGGAGTTGTAGTGGGTCGGGCTGAACTTTGGGAAAACTATGCATTATAAGAGAGATGTTGCTTTTCCATGTGAAACATAACCGGGCTACTGCCTATCATGCCTAGAGCCAGGGAGCCTTAGAAAGGTTCCATCAGACACTCAAGTCTTTACTACGTGCTTACTGTGTTCAAATGCAAGGGGATTGGGAATCAGGGTTGCCGTGGTTATTGTTGGCTGCTAGAGAGGCATCTCAGGAAAGTCTGGGATTTAGTCCTAATCAACTTGTGTTTGCTCATAACGTACAGGGTCTATTGTCACTGCTGGCTAATGATTTAAAAATGTCAGACCCACCTAAAATGTTTTAGGTTATGTTAGTGACTTTCAGAAGCGTCTCTATGGGGCTGGTCAATTTGCTAAAGAAAAGCTCAGCCGCTCTCAGTATAAGATAAAGCATCTCTTTGATCGTAGAGCAGAGGTTCGTGTGTTTCAGCCGGGTGACCATGTGCTTGCTCTGTTGCCTGTTGTTGGCTCTCCTTTTCAGGCCAAATTTGCTGGTCCCTATACTGTGCTGCGGCAGACATCTGATCCTAACTATTTGTTAGAGACACCAGACAGAAGGAAAGCAACTAGAATCTGTCGTGTTAACTTGTTAAAGCCCTATTATGGCCGTGAGCCTCATGCAGAAACATTGTTGTGTTAAATGACAGAGTACAAGTTCATGTTAAACCTGTTCTTTTAGCTGATGCCAGTTCTGCTGATGAGCTATGTCACCCTTCTGTTTTTCCCATTTCAGAGCCTGTTGAGGAGTTTGACCCTGGTGATTGTGTTTTGCTGGGCCAGTTAAAAAATTCGGAAGCATTACATAATTTGGATAGCGTGCTTGAGCATTTGCCTGCCTTGCAGTGTTCAGATTTGATTAAACTGATTAGTGGATATGGGTCACTGTTTTCAGATACCCCCACTTACACGAATCTTATTCAGCATGATATCGATGTGGGTAATGCAGCTCCTATTCGGCAGCAGTACTACCGTGTCTCTCTGGATAAGAGAAGACAGTTGGAGAAGGAAGTTGATTACATGCTTAAAAACAAAATAGCTGAGCCTTCATTTTCCAGCTGGGCCTCTCCATGCCTTTTGGTAAATAAGCCTGATGGTTCTTTTAGGTTTTGTACTGATTATCGGAATGCAGTGACTAAGCCTGATTCATTTCCTTTGTCACGGGTGGATGACTGTAT